TGTGTGCTTCCCCGTGACATTGCAGTTGTTAGATTTACAATGAAGTGGAAGTTCCTAACGTTTTTGTTTAATAGATCCTATGTGTGATATCACGAATTGCATAAACAGTCCGTAAAAATACATTTTCTTCAGGAATTCAGTTTTGTAAACAAAGAAATCATATTGTACAGTCTGGTATTTACATTTCGCGTTTAAAATTTCTAAAGAAAGATATATTTAGGCGCCTACTGTAACGCGATGCTTAGAAAACACGTCCCACAAATTTGTTTTTGTATTGAGTTCTGTTCTCAATGGGGGCCTAAAAACTGTTAGCCTTGTCCCAGTCTTCTAAACCAATCTTCGTAGATCTCATTACAGGCTTCTTTACTCTTATGACCTTTTGAGCTATGTAAATATCTTCGTATTTTTCAGAAAGAACTTAAAAACGATGAGAAATAATATTTATTATTGAAATTTGTATGGTGATAGATTTTCAAACTGTTTTAGTTGGTTATTATTTTATTGTTTACTGCACACTATCGGGCCGACTTTTCTCTTCGTTGGTTACATAATCCTAGCTTGTACTTGACTATTTCACTGACATTTTTCTTATTTGAACATTTAGGTCTCCCATGATGATACTTTCCTACAATGGCTTCCATGTTTCTTCTAAATGTACTTTTATGCTGTGTTTGTTCTTTTGTTTTTTGCTTCCTATTTGTTTTCTCTAATTTTATCATTATTAATATTATAATCTTTATTATAATTTCCTTTGATTTCTGTTGTATACATATTTCCTTCCGGGACCCAACAAGGGATATAAGGTCAGAAATGGCACCATGACATTTTCCACTGAGCATTTTTCTATATAAAAAAAATAGGCAACCCAAGATCACACATATTTTACATAGATAAAGTCTTTCGTAATATGTGAGCTGTACTTGAGAGTACAAGTTTTTGTATTTCTTTAAGGCATGGGCTACCAGAGATCATTTAATGAGTCTATCGGAACCTTTTTCAATCAAACCGAGCACTACAACTGGTATTATTGATATTCGCATGTTTTACATTTTGAGATTGTCACTTCAAGATTCTTGTATTTTGATAATTTTTTAAGATCTTCAAAGATACATTACCATCTGCAGGGACTGCGACGTCGATGAGAAAGCAAATTTTGTTTTTGAGGGCTTCGATCAATGATGTTTGCGCGATTAATTTCTTTGTTCTGTCTGTATGTATTATAAAGTCCCTTAAAAGCGTTACAGGTCTGTCAGATCCTCATACTTCGAAACCGACGGGAGAGTCCATATATATATATATATATATATATATATATATATATATATATATATATATATATGTATCCGATGCAATGAGATCGAAAGTAATATATAAATTCTAAAGTTCGCAGCATTAATTCAAAAGAGGGCTCGATACCGATATTAGAGCGATAATTATGTATCGATTATCGATTTATCGATAACAATTTTTGGTTATCACCAGTCGAGGTGCAATTGAAATGCACCGAAACGAAGTTGCATCTTTGTAGTGAGTAAACTGTTTTTGTGTATATGATAAAATTTTAATATATGTATATATATATATATATATATATATATATATATATTAAGTGCGATGGATAAATTGCGGTCTAAATTACGCAAAAATGAAAGTAACACTGATGCTTCATTTTAACAGATATATTTACCAAAATTACGCAAAAATTTCTTGAAATACTAAAGAGTAAATGTATTCAATAAAATCGTCATTGGCTTCAATCACAGCTTCCAAATGACTTCGGAATCTCTTGCAACTCTTCTAAGTAGATGTTTACCTTTTGTTTTTGTTTTTCTACTTTCTAATCTTTTGTCTTTCCGAAGGTTTTTCTTATTTTTTATAGATCTTTTGGCAGATAGTGTATTGGTCTTTTTATAGGTCTTTTGGGAGGTACTGAGATTTGTATACAGACACACACATACACGTATATATTTATATGTACGTATATATATATATATATATATATATATATATATATATATATATATATATATATATATATAATGGTTTAAATTTGAAGGAGTATCCGACGGATTAGTAAATGCAAGATGCGATGGATAAATTGTCGTCGAAATTAGGCAAAAATGAACTTTAAACAGGCATCTCATTTTAACAGATATATTTATTAAAATCATACAAAAATACCTTGAAATACTAAAGAGTAAATTTATTCAATAAAATCGCCATTGACTTCAACCGTGACCTCCAGACAACTTCAGAATCTCCTGCAACTCTTCTGGGCGGTTTTCTTGTTTAAACTGGTGAAGGCTGCCATAATACTTGCCTTCAGTTCATCTTTGGTGTTACAAGGAGTTTTGTTGGTCTCTCACTCATCTACCTCTCCCATAATAATCAAGGGGGTTGCAGTCTGAGGAGTTAGATGACCAGATGTAAGGTGTGATATGATCGTAGAAATTGTCTGACAGACATGATTGGGTTCTCTTGCTTGTGTGGCATGGTGCAGAGTCCTGTTGCCAGACATATTGTCTTCCAGCAGCCACCCTCTTGATCCAGAGCAGGACTTCCCCCTCAAGGCACTTGATGTAGGCCTCTGTGTTGAGTCAGCAGCCTCACCAGCAAATTTAGGAGTTCTTTTCTTATCAGAAAGACCAGAGTGATTTTTCCGAACTGCTGTACTTTCGTAATCACCATTAGACTCATCCAACTCTTTCCTTTGCACTCTAAAATGTTCGTATTGGAGCTTCCGGCACGAATGCCAAGCAGTGCAGCATGCCGTTTCCATATTTATGGTGTAGTAAATTGCGTCATGGTGCATTTTTTCTCACAGACGGTGCCCAACTGACCTTATTATACTGTGCCGTCGACAAAATACAAAGCAAACAGTGCGCATGCACGAAATTATAATATAAAATGGCGAAAATTTACCCATCGCACCAAGTGTATGTGTGCGTGTATATATATATATATATATATATATATATATATATATATATATATAATATTCCTTCCTTCCTGTTAAAGATTACTTGTTGCGTTTGTACAAAAAATATCAGTCATCGGATAGTTGTATTTTATTGTATTTGCAATCGTATTAGTCATTTCGGTGACTGACTAATATATTAAAGAGTTTCTTTTGCGTACCCACCTTAAAATATGTGGTAGAAAAATCTCTGTTGTGAGATGATTAAATTAATTTTTCGCTCGATTTTAGTTGATAGGAGTTATTACAACTTATACTGGATGTTTTTAGAAAGCTATAATCAATATAGTATTTTTAGAAGCCTATAATACCGTTTTTTAGGGGAAAGTTATAAGTAATATATTTTTAGAAGCCTATAATATCGGATCTTTTTTAGAAAGCTAAAATTTGCCTATAATATAGCCTATAATACCGAATTTTTTAGAAAGCTATAAGCAATATAATATTTTTTTGAAATCTGTAATACCGGATTTTTTTTAGAAAGCTATAAGAAATATATTTTTTAGAAGCCTGTAATACTGGATTTTTCAGAAAGCTATAATTAATACCAGATTTCTATTTCAATTTTTAGGGGGAGGGGGAGAGGGGGTAAATAACAGGACTTATATCAAGAAAAGTCTATCCAAAAATTATTAATTCAATATTAACTGGCAAAAATAAGAATTATTGCAGTCGAGATCATAGAGTCATTGCAGATTCCACGCCCTTTTTTCGTCAGCTGTATATAGTTTGTGCTTCGACAGGTTTACATACGGTTTTTGAATTCAGAGTTGTCCTTCTTCTAGACTAGTTGCCATCCAAAGCTATAGAGACCAATCTACTTACCCATAGCTGGAGAGTTCATGGATACACCTTTCTGAACGGTATCTGCGAGAAAATGAATGCACCGAAACTCAACTGGAAGGCGATCTCAGTTTTCCGATTTTTCACAAACCAAAATATGATTTGGTTTTAAACAACCCACAAAGGGTTGATGAGCCGTGAAAAAACAAATCTGTCAATTTGAAATCTCAAGATTATCAAGACTTCTGCTGATAATAGGTATAAGTAAGCGAGAAAAATAAGACTGAGGAAAACGAACTTAAAAATGAGTAATCAATGCACTTCATCCATAAAATTCGGGCAACTTAATACTCTAACATCTCATGACTTTTTTTTTACTAGGCGTAAATATAAAGGAAAAGTTAAGATAAAAGAAAATGTTTCAAATGAATAATAATGATGGGGCTTTATATAGTAAATTAGAGTAACTTTCTTATATAGGAAATTAGAATAACTTTCTTATAGAGGAAATTATAGTAACTTTTTAGAGAGAAAATTAGAGTAAATGATATAAGAAATTAGAGTAACTTTCTCGTATAAAAAATTAGAGTAACTTTCTCATATAGGAAATTAGGGTAACTTTCTTATAGAGGAAATATTAGAGTAACTTTCTTAAATAGGAAATTAGAGTAAATTTCTTATATAGGAAATTAGAGTAACTTTCTTATAGAGAAAATTCGTGTAACTTTCTTACATAGGAAATTAGTGTAACTTTCTTATATAGGAAATTAGAGTAACTTTCTTATAGAGGAAATTAGAGTAACCTTCTTATAGAGGAAATATTAGAGTAACTTTCTTACATAGGAAATTAGAGTAACTTTCTTATAGAGGAAATTAGTGTAACTTTCTTATATAGGAAATTAGAGTAACTTTTTTTATAGAGTAAATTAGGGTAACTTTCTTATAGAGGAAATTACGCTAACTTTCTTATAGAGGAAATTAGAGTAACCTTCTTACATAGGAAATTAGAGTAACTTTCTTATAGAGGAAATTAATGTAACTTTTTTATATAGGAAATTAGAATAACTTTTTTTATAGAGTAAATTAGGGTAACTTTCTTATAGAGGAAATTACGCTAACTTTCTTATAGAGGAAATTAGAGTAACCTTCTTATAGTGGAAATATTAGAGTAACTTTATTGTTTCGTTTTTATTTGTTTCTTTGTATCATTGATATTTGTTATATTTCTTTTTTTTTCCAGATTTCGCAACGATCTGAAAGAACTCGATAAAATAATCACTGAAAGAAATAAGAAGAGGAACCCCACTTATACTTATCTGGAACCTGTTTACGTCCCAAATTCTATCAGCATCTAAGAGTAACTGAGTCACTTGAATCTACGCAGTATATTCCGCACATTATAGACTTGGTAAAAAAAAAAAGTGATCATTAATCGCCAAATGAGCAAAGCGAAAAAGTTAAATATGAAAAGAATAAAACAAAAAAATAAGCGAAAACACGAAAAAAAAAAGTGAAAGATATTCACTAAATTCTTACATCTGAAATCACGTTTCTCCGAGAGTTTAGCGTGAGAAGTTTTCATTCATTTATCTTTGCTTGAATTTTCAATTAAATCGTTGAATTCCAATCATCAAAAAGTGCTAACAGGGGGGGAAAAAAAAAAAAAAAAGGACCCGGCTTTCTTCCAAATGATCTATATTTTCATAAATTTAAAAAAAATAAAAAATTTTCATGTTCTTCATATTTTTAAAATAAATCAAAAACCACTTTTTTTTTAATAACAAGAAAAAAATGCGTTTAAAAAAATAAACGGCAACAGCCAGAAAACAAATAAAATATGCTTCACAATCTTCTTAAATATCTTTGTTGATTAACATCTATCTATCTATCTATCTATCTATCTATGTATCTATCTATCTATCTATCTATCTATTTTGTTCATTTTTGTATATCAAATATAATATTGCGATTCTCTCTCTCTAGTTTCATAATTCTGAAAAATTTTTCTTTTAGAATAATCCAGGAATATTTTACTGAAAAAAATCCTATATCATGACAATTTTTTCTCTTAAAATTATTGTAGCAGACAGCCTCGATTTTGTCATAGACGCGAATTAAAGTTCAGTTATTGAAAATGACCAGATTTTAAAGAAAACTTCCCGATGATGTATGTCATGGTTTGATAAAATTTAGGTTTGATTTTATCTGACTCCAAAATGTTGTTTTAGAAGGGTTGAATAATTCCTGTCTTCTTTAAATATGCTTTTATTTTAAAGATACCATCTGCCAAGCGTTGCTTTGTTAAGCTATTTGAATTTTTATGAATCTTTGAAAGATAAGTTGAAAAGGTTTACCCTTTGGTTACAAATAAAGTTTTTGTTGTGTTATAGACAGAGTTACTCTATTTTTAATTTTTCAGATGCTGATGGAGTTGGGAATATTTTCCGGGTCCAGAACCACGTATGGGACATCAAGATTGGCGTTCCTTTCCTTTATTATTTTGGACGCTTCCTTAAGATCCGCTCTGAATCTGAAATCAAAAGCATTAATATTAGACACAACATAAAAAGCAAAATGGTTTTAAATGTCATTAGTTATTTTAGTCTACTTTCTTTTTTCTTTGTTATTTATCGAGATATTAACTAAGTTTTTTTTAATGAATCTTTCTTTTTAGGACATTAAAACCATTCAAGGAGTTTTCATTTTACTGATATATTTTTCTTTTTAAGTTGTATATTATTACAGCGTTTTCAACATATATATTCATCAGCCGTCAAATAAAATTATAGTATATCGAACCAAGGATGTATCTAAGAACGAGATAAAAACGCAGAAGTTTGCTATGTCATCAAGCAACAGGTCACCTGGTTATAGAAATAGCTAGTAGAGTTTTCTAATATTTCGTCTGTTTGCTCTGTGTGCAACATTTATTAACTACGTTTAGGTCATATGGCCTCAAGTCGTATAAATACTACTTTGATATTTTAAAGAAACATTGTTGGGGTTAAATTTATTAGACAATAGTTTATTCTCACTGAGAAACAAACAAGGCAAGAGTGACAAGGAGAGGGGTAAAGATATAACGATTTCTTTTTAACAATGTCATACTCTGTAAGTAGATGTCTCGTCCGACCTAATCTTTCATCTTTAAGGAGATGTCTGTTCCAAATTATGTAGAGGTCTTCCATCACTAAATAGATGACTGTTCTGACCTAAGTAGATATCGTTCAAGGTAGTTAGATGTCTTCCGTCTTGAAATAGATGCCTCGTCAAACATAGGTAGATGTCTGTTCCAATCTAAGTAGATATCTTCCATCTTTAAAGAGATGCCTGTTCCAAACTGAGTAGATATCTTCCATCACTAAAGAGATGTTTGTTACGACCTAAGTAGGTATCTTTCATCTGTAAAGAGATGCCTGTTCCAATCTAAGTAGATATCTTCCATCTTTAAAGAGATGCCTGTTCCAAACTAAGTAGATATCTTCCATCACTAAAGAGATGTCTTTTACGACCTAAATAGATATTTTCCATCTCTAAAGACATATCTGTTCCAAATTAAGTAGATGTATTTCATCCCTAATAGGGTTATAATAGCAAGGTAGACAGGATTCTCTATTTTTTTGTTTGCAACCAATCTAAGAGAAGGAGAATTAATATTTAAAACGGGTTGAGCGCTGGGATAGTATTCCCAGCCCGTAAAGGGCGACTTGAAACGGAAACGACAGCAGACATACGTAACGTGGTCAGGCTGTTTCCCTATACCCAACATGGGTGTCTACAGGGTTATCACTGGGACGAATCATTTCCATTCCCTTCGTATTCCATTAGTGAGAAGGAAGTTTCATTCGGACAACTTAAAAACGCTACTTTGTGGACCAGTCTCCTGAAAAGGCGCTTCCCCGATCGCTATAACTTCTTCAAGTCTAGAATCAACAAGTATCTTTCTTACATATGATAATCTACACTTGTGACTTCCCCCTCTTACGCTCATACAACCTCATACAGTAGCCCTCTACCTTGAGTGGCTCTGTATTTGATGAACATTTAGTAAAACAACAATAATAGATATGACAAGTAAGAAAGGTAAAGGAAATACCTATTAAATCCTTAAATTCAGGCATATAAAGAAATTTAAAAAGAGTTCAATTGAAGGAAAAAATATCTTTACTTGTCCACTGCTCCCAAGGCTTTAGTTTCGTAAATATACTGTGTTTCAAAGTCTCCAAGTCGATTTGTGTTTCTCTGACAAAGTATATTCGTTACAGTCATTATATCTAAAGTTGTTGACTTGTCAGGAAGGGCTTTCATTATATCTGCCTCTGTTTTGGGTTTCTGTAAAAAAATGAATAGAGACATTTGCCGCTCAATATACGAAAACAATTGTCAATTCCACAAAAGAAGTATTTATTGAACCTTGATGGTAACCCTTTAAGTGACCAACGGCTTCATCCTTGTGATGAGGGTGAGGGAGCCGCGGCTCGGTAGCTAGCTTCCATGTAGTGGTAGGAAGAGGAATCGAGATCGACAACGTCATATTTTTCCCGACGAATATCATGAAAGAACTCCCAACTGTCGGTTAAATAGCAGGTCAGACAGGTTGGCAACACGTCTAGGAGGAGGGCAACTCTGAATTCAAAACCGTAACAAATGTCCATAATTCTCTACTCTAAGCAATGAAGAAGGAAAGAAACAAAAAATAAAAAAGAATAAATAGAAACTACTATTACTAGTACTACTATTATTACTACTATAGGCAATGCTGCTCCTCCTCCTCCTATTACTACTACTACTAATAATAATCGTTAAGTTCTGTTATTGTTTTATCGTTTAGAATTATTAAAGTAGCTAGAGATTGCACCATTGGCTCCATATGAAGTCACATCCCACTCACGATGGAAGGCAAGTGATGACGGGTGAGCGACTGGGATCGGAGGAGGGGGAGATAGAGGATATTGTTTGGGCGCCTTGATGTGGTGTAATGGTTAGCAAGCTTGTCTCGCTAGAACAATTATAACTGAGTAGTGAGTTCGATCCTCACTGGGTGCCCCATACTTTCGGCCTTGTACCACATCTGAGCTATGCTTGGAAAATCACGATAGAGGATATTGTTTTCATTGACTTTTATATTAGAGCAACTTAAATTGCAGTATAGTATTCCCAGGGTTGGTGGAGAAAAATGAAAAGCGAAAAATCAAGTAAAAACTCACCCGTTCTGCAATATGGCACAATTTGAATGAAATCAATCATTAAATAAGAAAGAAAAGCTGATTACAGTCATATTGGCACACGATCATAAATTTAATGAATGCAGGGACAACATTTGAAGTACTGGACATGCCATCATCAATTTAACAAGGAAATATTAAAAAAGAGGTTTTAAAAATTGAACTTAAAAAAAAGACTTTTAACGCAACGTAGATAAAATAAAAGAAAAGCGTGATTTTATTTCGACTTCGTCTGAAAGTCTGATCTTCTAAGCAGCACCTACTTGAAGAAAGGAAAACACAAGAACAAAGCAAAATAAAAAGTATATCAGATCAAGTGATAACAAAACCGGACGTAGAGAGTTTCCGGTTGATGGTGTGTATTAACAGTAACAGTTGAGAACGTGCAAGTGAGTTCTACTTTGTTCTTGGCTGGGGACAGAATGTTCCTGGGATATTTCCGATGCCGCCTATTCGTATTGCCAGCCAAGCACCGTGATATGCAGATGGGCAGAGAGCTTTTAGGGAAGAAGAGCTTATCCATAGCAAAAGTTATCCTAAGTTTCAACTACCTACCCATTCAGTCTGAGCAAGCGAATGAGTATTCGAACCCTGTTTCCAATAATATAAAATCGGTGTTATATTATTGAAAACAGGGTTCCAATTTTCATCTCTCGATGTGTTGTTTCTTTTCACCTATTGTTTCTCTGTGAATGTGCAATAAAGCACTGAAAAATTTAACACACACCTAAAAATTTCCTACCTTGTCTTTTATTGCTTCTCCATTCAGTTTTGAGGGATAATTTGGTGGGAAAGCGTATTCTTCATACTGTGAGAAGTTAGTGCTGGCATGTCCGGCGCTAGAGATGTAAATAACAGAGGTTAGCACTAGGATAAGATCTTTAATCGTATTGAAGGTTCCTTTGCCATCCTTTAGCGGTAAACCCTGTCGTAAATAGAGAAACGCATACAAACAGACTGATTAGTAACAAATCCAAAGTTGTCTTTCAAAGTGGTTTGGGCTTACGTCTATGTCGCATACAAACACCGGTTCTCGATCACCGAAGTTAAGCAATGTCGAGCCTAGTAAATATCTAGAAAGCTGACCGCTTGGGAATACCAAGTGCTGTAAACTTGGGTGTACGGGTGGAGTAAAGGATAACGACTCGGAAGTGGACACCGGAAAACAGAGTTCTAATTCCAATCGGGTTCGTTAGATTCATTTACGCGCAAATACCACTGGGAAAGGTATGGATCCATCTCTTCCCCTCCCAGTTAAATAGTAGGACTTGTACCACTAAATCATTATTATCTCAAAAAATTCATATAATGCAAACATATTTTCTACCTTTAAATAACCTGCAAAAGGTTGATAAGCCATAAAAATAAAAGAAATCAATCCAGGTGATGTTTTCGGATGCGGCAGAATCAATCATTCCCTTATTATGTTGAGTCATAAATAATTTCCGTTTTTGTTTAAAATTTGTTCTTCAAAACTGACTCAACCTGTAGAAATTTTTCTTGTCTACCAATATTTATTTTAAATCGCAATGAATTATTGTCAGTTAAGCCAATTAGGTTTACTTAGACGTAGAAAAGATTACGGTTAAATCACGCTGAAACACCGGTTCTCGTTCGATCACCGAAGTTAAGCATCGTAGAGCCAGGTCAGTACTTAGATGGGGGACCGCTTGGGAACACCTGGTACTGTAAGCCCCCAAAGTCCAGCCCTTACCTCACAGTCGGGGGGGGGGTGTAAACGGTAGTGTCAGAGCTATGCCGCCCGGAACTTCGTTCCTGGTAGGGCCACCCAAGGCGGACAGGTCTGACACACACGCCTGCTAACAAGGGCTCTGGTGAAAATCCAAGGAGCGTCTGCATCGGTAACCGGCGGCTTCTGGTCGTTCCTGTTTCTGCGTCTGTGGGAATCCCGCGGCAAGCAAGAACGTTATTCGAGTAGGCCTGGGTACCATACTTCTGTAATTTATCCCAAGAATCTTCTTCTTATAACAGGAAGAAGCCGGCTCAATCCGCCCAGGGTAAATGCCGTAGTAGTACAGACTTAGAAAAGACCAAAGTGATAATTACAGGATTTTTACTAACTTATTAAAATAATGTGATGATATATTAAATTTTTGACGGGTACACTCTCTCTCTCTCTCTCTCTCTCTATATATATATATATATATATATATATAATAAATTTTACAAGTAAAATGAAATAGTTGTATTGAGTCAGTTTCTTTCCTTAATGATATCATTCGATTATTGTTATCTGAAAGATCTTGTCCCATAACGAACACACGCACACACACACTTGTTCATGTGTGTGCATATATATTATATGAAAAAATTGCTTTTAAATATCAATTTTATTCCGAAATCAATGTTTCATGGTAAAATTTTCAGTCTTCAGTGGTTGTAGTTTTATATGGTATTTTCAATTTTAAAAAGTTTTTCACTTTGTTCCGCATCTTTTTCAATTCGATTTTCAAGACGGAGTAAAAAAAAAAAAGGATTGAAAAAGATGCGGTTAAAAGTGAAAAATTTGAAAAAAATGGAAAATACCGTTTAAAACCACAACCCTTGAAGACTGGAAATTTTACCAAGAAACATCAATGTCGATATAATGTTGGTATTTAAAAGTTGAATTATCTTTAAAGGGCATTTGGTTGTGTAGTCCTTTAAATGCCCTTTAAGGAACTGCGTTCCTGACCAAACCGGACTCATAAATAATTACATTGGCTACACAACAACATGTTTATCCAGACGTCTTACGTTACACCTATCCGATCACAGCTCCATCAGAACACATTTAAACACACACCCAGATTTACCCGACACCATTAGGAACATACTAGTAGAAAACACAAATATATTGACTGCATCCACTTGCAAAAAAAGACTAAAAATAATGGAAGCTCTAATAATAAAAAAGAAAAAGCCAACTCTTAACAATATTAACTACGAACAAAGCCACAATGTGCTAACCGTATTCGGAAATTAAAAACATCCCTACCACACACTAATACACTCACAGAACGCACACACTCAATTAAGCTGATAATCGAATCATCCTTGATAATGGCTAAAGGTATAGCCGAAAGCGCTCGGAAATATAAAACATTCGGACAGTTCTTACACACCCTTTATCCAGAAAAGAAAGCTCTTGTCAGAACACAAGAAAAATTAAATAAAAAACTCAACCGTAGTACCTTGTCTGTCGTTTTTAATGAAACATGCATAAAGGAAGGATTGCTGCCTAAATATACATATATATATATATATATATATATATATATATATATATATATATATATATATGTATGTATGTATATATATATATGTATGTATAAACGTATCTATCTATCTATCTATCTATCTATCTATCTATCTATCTCTGTGTGTGTGTGTTTGGAACGAATATTTCAAATAACAATAATCGACAGATATCGTTAAACAAAGGACATAAAAAATGTGGCAAATTATGATTTTTTTCTTTTGTGATTAAATACATTGTTATAAACAACTTTCTATTACAAATCTTGTTTATAAATGCCTATCATCACGGATAGCATTTTGGAATTTCTTTTTCCGATTTTTGTTTAGTATTAGGTTTCTTTCAGGAAGTCAGTTTTTTACAATCAAGCTTCGTAAATACTTTGGAACAGTCTAACATTGTCATAACAAAGCGACAGCCGCCCGGCGTCACCATTTCAAGAGAGGTAAAACTAGTACTGCAAAAATTTATAAATATTACAAAAAATAAAGAAATAAAATTAAAACCTTGGCGTATTATCGTAAAATGCATGTAATAAGTTTCTAATTTGTCCATTAATTTGAATAATGTATTTGGTGGGACTGTTTAATTTTGGTCACAATAGCTGTTGAATAAACTGTTTCCCATATATATATATATATATATATATATATATATATATATATATATATATAAAGGAATTACACACACACACACGCACGCACACACACACACGCGTGCGCGCGCGTGTGTGTGGTTGGATCATAAACAATTTCCTTTTTAGGAAGATGAAGGTAATGAAGAATGTATCATCCCAGCTAACTGTTCCTTAAATACATCATAATGAATGGTGATGAATAGTGGGTTGCATACAACAATGTTCAACGCAAAAGCTAGTGGATTGACTGGAATAAACTCCCAAATCGACATGAAAAACTGAACTTACAAGAAGTTGTACGCGTGGTGGGCCCCTCCAATTATTATTCATTCAGAGTTCTTAAAGCGCAATGAAACATTAAATGAATAATTTTACGTCCAACAGCTTCAATGTGTCCAGAAAAGTTTGGTCGAAAAGTGACCTGCACTCCTTGGTCTCCTTCATGATAACGCAATACTGCATACAGCAAGAGTAACACAGGAAAAAAGAATGGGTCTTGGTTGGTCTGTTCTACCCCCGCCCACTATATTCAACTGACTTTGCACTAACCGATTATTACTTTTTCAATCGCTGCAAAACGCTTTGATGGAGAAAACTTCCTCTCGTTAAAACCAGATTCAAGGGCACGTTGAAAACTTTTTCACGTCACAAAATGTAGAATTTTCTTGAAAAGTATCGAAGATCTGCCTGATAAGTGGTGACCTATCATTGCAAATAATAGTGAATATATAAATAAATAAAATGTAATTATTTATATTATTTACATTGTTCGGACTGTTGTCCTCATTTTTTTTTGCCATATTCACAACATTTTGGGCCGTTGGACATACGTTTTCTAAGATTATCGCTCTAATTATATATTGAGCGCTTTTTGAAAAGACAGAGCACAAAAATATAACCTGAATGAATTAAAGTGCACATATATTAAAGAGAAAGACTGTATTGCGCCAGTATTTATAGAGGGCAAACGACAGAAATGCCGGTCTTACTAGTGTAATCTCCCCTTACAAGTATTTACTCAAGAGAAAGCGTTTACATAACTATCTCTTGACAAACAATGAAGATAAGTATATACTGACCATATCTCTCGTTCCAATGTCATCTTTTTCTTCTGTCATTTCTGCAGCCCAGTTTTGCATTTCCCAGTCATTGTGCAACTTAGAGACATTACCTTCAAATAATAAAGAACTGTTGTCATTCGTTAAAAAACAAACAAAAAACAATATGAAAGCACGCGTTTACATATACAAATAAAAGCATATAATCTTTATTATTAATTGTTGAGTAGTCTTTTCTTTTTCTTTTCGTTATTATCATATAAAAAAATTCTCATCTGAACACTTTCCTACCGTTAAAGAAAATAGCCGAATCTAATGTCTTTAATTTAATTACAAAATTAAATTCGAAGCTTTTAGCTTCCATTTTTGAAACATGGTTAGAACTGTGTAGCGGAAAAACATATTTTAAATCAATTAATTTATAATATATATATATATATATATATATATATATATATATATATATATATATATATAAAACAATGCAAAGTATTTAAAAAAACTTGTCTTATTATTATAATATTGCACTGGTATAAAAGTGTTTATCCTTATTACATTATTATATATTATTAAAGGTACCCGGGATGAAAGCTTATTAGGCCAGATCTAGATCCCGAGCCTTCTCATTCCTTGGACGATCCCCTCGCTGATTGACCATGCCTTCAGGGATGTTGTCGTACTCACCACGCTTAGCCAATTGCAGGTTGAGACTATTTAACCCATAGATGGAGGTTTTAAATTCATACCTCACCTTCTCTTAAACCGGTTGCCAATTCAACCATTTTCAATCAAGAAATCAAAAGAAAACAATAAAAACAATATTTCTACCCGTGAAAGTACTTGACATAATTTTCAGTTGACAATATGAATACAATAGCGTTTTCTAAATTCTTCTAGTTGCTAAGGACATTTTTGTTGTTAATAGTTATTTTGTTTTCAATAAATTCATTTCATTTTGCCTTCAAAACGTCCAGATTGGATGAAACGCGTCGGCTAATAATACAGTTTTCCTATTGTCTCTTAACTTTATATATATTGTCTTTTTTCTACAGGTTAACTCTAAGAAATTTTTATACAATTATATATATATAAAATACACATGCAAACATCTATGTATAATGTACTGAAGCGCATATAGCTAGATAAGGCCCAAACCTATTTTCGCATCTCTTTTACAAAACTTCACGACATGTTTGGTTTGAATAATAGTCGTAAATTGCATAAATTATGTGGTGAAAATATTACATATGTCCTAGAATGTTGAGATAAGAGACTGGTAAGAAGATATGCACCATACAATAGTAAACAGCAGAAAAGACATACACAAACACAAGCGCTTGCGCACGCATACACACACACACATATATATATATATTAACAAAAAACATTTACTCACACACACGCACACACATGTATATATATGTGTGTGTGCATATGTGTGTGTATTATCAACAACAATAACAACATTTAATTGGCATTAAATTACATCCGCCATAGTTTGCCTTGACTTTCACAGTTAACCATCAGCATATTTTTTCGCGTCCTTAATTTAAAAAATTTAAAAAACCTAATACATCTTTCAAAATAAAATGATGTAGAAAAAAATTTTGAAACTACTAGCGTCTCTGGTTTCGTGCGCATGTGTACACGCGGCTACATCAACAAAGACCAGTCCGATGAAATCGTAAAGGATGAAAGGCGTCACAATTTTTTTTCCCCAATTTGTATAATATTTTTGTAAATACTGTTTGTTGATATATAAAGTTATACAAAATTATATTTATATTTATATATATATATATATATATATATATATATATATATATACCTCACCGCTAGTACGACGCTGAGTTTCATGCATGACGCAATCTTCAGGTCCTGAGTAGGAACTGACTGTTACACAATTTGGAATTATAATGTATCTGTTTAACACAATGTTGGCATAGTCATATATTACGCTGGGATTACAGGGTTTTTTTTATTTAAAATTTGAAAATTATATTTGCCAGTTAAAATAAGTGGGAGTTATATATGAAAGTAAAAAAAGAAAATTTAAAAATTAAAAAAATTATGTATTTGAGTGGGGAATATTCATATTTAAAAAAATATAATCAAAGGCAGATTACCTGTTCTTATTAAAGCATGAATGTATATTTAATAGTAACATAATAAAAACAGACCATAATTAACATTAAACATTAACAATAAAAATAACAATTAAAAAATAAAACATTAATGAAAAATAAAAAATGAAAATAAAATTTAAAAAATTAAGAAATAAAATTTAAAACTTAAGAATTAAAATTAAAAAATTAAAATTTTGATCAACGTATTTAAGCCGATATTTATTTTTATGCATACATGTAATCATCAATTCATATCTCTATATTAGGGTTATTTAATGGCTTTAAGATAACCAGCTTTTCAACAAGATATAAATTGCGTTTATTTCCTTTACAGTTATAAACTTTAGACCTAGATATATTTTCCCAGTTGATTGATGGTGAGATGCCATCATTCTTTAATTGTCAAAAATATTTGGAGAAAGCAGTGCTGTTTTTGTATTTTTAATTATTTAGGTCATTCTATGATGGTCAAAACAAAATTTCCAAGGATTATTTGTGGAACCAAAATAAAATTTAACATCGTTACCGGAATGTTCGCTCGGTATATAATATTATCAGTCATACATTGATCACTTCAGGGACAGATCGTATTTTTATGACAGTTGCATTTATTTTTAGAAGAATTTACATTGTCTTTGTTGAGGATATGTTTAATACAAAGTTGTTATGATGAAGATGGATGTGTCTATGACATGTTATTAACGCAGCTATAGCTGATCCAAACATTGTTTTATTAAAAATCTCTTTTAGTGTTGGTGAATGGTTTAAGTGTTTATGGATTAAATTTTAAAAAATTCTTCCGATATTAGTTTTGAAATTACGGTTAAAAGGTGGATTAAAACATATAATTTTGCGTTTATTGTGTTCCTGCTTATTTCTACCTTTTTGTTTCTAATTACTCTAAATTTACTTTATGTTGGCTGAATTCTAAAGATTGTATATATTTACCTCCACTCAGTTTCATTACGGAAGGTTTAAAATGAATATAAAAAAATGAAAAACATTCGTGAAGTTTTCATTTAAGCTTTAATTGAAAGCAAAATGATTAAATTTACTATTTCCAGTTAGCAAAATACACTGGTATATTTCAAATAGAAATTATATTATATTTTGGAATCTCAACTTTTTGGTCGTTTCCAGAAAATCGATAAATATCGGCCATTTTGACACATTTATAAACAAAAGTTAATTTTCAGTTTTAAAAATCTTCCAAAAACATCCTCACGCAACACTTTTTAAGCCGACGTACATACTTACTATAGTAAAGTTTGATGTAGGTTGTTACGTAATTATGAATACAGTTGTAGATTAACAAGGCGTCATCCCTGTAATGGTAGTTGGGTAACAAGAACGGATCGTCGACCTGAAAGGAACAAAAGCATACATTTTCGGATCAGATGATTATCGGGTATGTAAAATCATATGAACTTTGTTCTCTTTGTACATTTCGATAGATTGAGAGAAACAAGAAATATATAAAGATTGACAATAACATGAAGAGAAGACTACCAAAAAATAGAAATAGTACCCGTATAACCAAAGAGCTGAAAACGTGTACACACACACACACACACACACACACGCACACACACACACACACAATATATCCTAAAGCGGTATTACATTTTTGGTTAGTATTAGATAGATAGATAGTGGAACACACCTATTCTATAGTTAATAGACTCTCCCACCTATAATAAGTAGTAGTAGTAGTAATAGTAACGAGTCAGTGCCAGAGTTGGTCAGTCAGTCGATGCCGGACAACTGTTAGTCGGATACTGCGTCATTACCTATTATATCAAGTTCCTAACGTTTTGTCCGTCAAACCTATTTTAGGACCGACTTAGTACAAATACAAGCCTCCACTGTGAAACTACTCTACAACAGATAGATAGATAGATAGATAGGTAGATAGATATATAGATACAGTGGTGACATCTTGCTGGTTCGCATTGGTTCGGGCGAACCGATTCTTGAAATTATAAAAGCTTATGGAGCCGATTGTTGAATAATCTGAAAATAAATATATATATTAATAGCCAATATATAATAGCTAAAAATATAATCAATACCATAGCTGTAAGTTTTGCGTAGGCTGAAATTGAGTTTTCTGCGATGAACATAATCTATTCTAACAAAAGAAATCATCTTGAAGTTAAAAATGTGGCGAATCTTCTAGCCATAAATTTGATAGCTTTCCATAGGATTTTTGTGACGGTAGCGATTCAGTTTGAATATGTTTAAGAAACTATAACACAGCTGCTGACACTTGAATAAAAAAGCATTATACTTCTGAACAGAAATATAATGAGAACAGAATTTCAATTTGGAAATATTTTAATAAATATTTTCTATTAAATTATCAAAATGGTTTAATTTTTTTTGATACTATAATCTATTATCAGATGAAAAAGAAAAGCTAACCTTGATAAAATTCAAGTTCATTTATGCAGCATTGTTGGTGAACATTTATTCATCGAACTGCAGCTTTTCTCCCAGAGATGCAACATTGCAAACCTATTCTTGCTAGTTCCATGGAGAATGTTCAGATGAGCTCCATTTTTTACTTCCACTAGTTCAGACATTCAAGCTAGGATGATCCATACCACTTCCGTAGAGTCGAATCAATGAGAATTGTATTTTAGTCATTCGTAATGTGATGGTTGATATGTGTACAGATTGCTCTGCGTTTCAACAGGTAGTAAGTCAATCTGCGAGTGAGCGTGGTGCATGTGTGCTCGATATAAGAATCACCCGTTGAAACACTGCACCCCCATAGGGTTTCCATGTTGTCAATTAATTGACATTGAAGCTGTACTTCACTTTGATCAAAGGAAATTGTCATTGGACAGTTGTTTGCATTTTCATATATATACTTATCAATATGAGTATTTTTTGAAAGTTTATGGTGTTGGTTTCTGCCGTAGCTGTTTGGTCCTTTAGTTGGAATTAAGTGTATTTGAGCTTCAGTATTTAGTTTATAAGAGTTTGGTTAAAGGCTAACGAATATAAGATATTGTATATCAGGTTTTGCTCTAATCAAAGTAGGGCTATGCTCATATGAAATGAAAAATCTAATGAAAAATATATAAATAAAAGAATATGTTATTATATAATAGACAAAACATATTCGAGTGGAGTAGTAGCTATGAACGCGGTAAATGGGATCAGTGCGCCGAATTAAAATTCCGGTTGTGTTCACTTTCACACACATCTCCTTAAGAAAGACGGGAATCCTTCTTCTCATCTGGGAATATCATTTGCCCTAAATTTGAATGTGCGGGTGGTGTAATGGATAATAGCTAGAATTGTTAATCGGAGAAACAAGTTCCAATTCTAGTTGAGTTCGTTATATTCACTTACGCGTAAATACCCTTTGGGAAAGGCATGAATCACTTTTTCCTCCTAGCTATAGGGTAATTAGAAAGACTTTTATCGCTTAATCATTATTATCTTAAAAAACAATCTAAAAATATTTTCTGCTTTATATAACTTACAAAGGGTTCATAAGCCATAGAAAACATATCAGTCAAAAAATACTTCTCTCCCAGCCATGGATTAAATAGTAAGGTAGACTGCATTCTTTAGACTTGGGCAAAATTTTCACCTATTGCGATGAGCGAGTATACTCTCAGGGAGACACGGAGCTTCCCTATTCTTTCATCTGGGTTGAGTTTGTCCCAATGCAGCGAGCGCCTATTGGGACTTAATCTCAACCCAGATCGCAAGTGAAACTTGTACATACGATCCATCTCTCAAGATGCTGGAAAAATGATCTGCTCCCTGTACTGCTCCAATAAGTACCTGACACCTCGTGTTATCCTCTAGATTTACAAGAGCCAAACCAGGCCGAAAATGCAGTATTGCTGCCATATATGGACAGGAACTGCCTAACCTTCCATTTTCAGTTTTGGTAGCGTCCAAAAGCGTCTGCGTATTTTTGTGGGTGATTATTTTCCACTCTACAAACCCTTTCTCATAGACGAAACGTCGCAAGCCTTTCGTTGTTCTATCGCTATTTAAATGGAAAGTATTCAGAAGAACCACATTCCTTAGTCCCACCACTTCTAACTTTCACGGCTAAGACTCACACTGTAGCGAACCGCACTTACACTTCTATTAAGCCTTTTTCTTATCGAAGTAAATTTTCAACTATCGCGATGAACGGACTTAACCCAGACCTCAAGTGGAACTCGTACATATGATATATCCCTAAAGATTCCGGAAAAGTACTTGACTTCTCTAGCTCCGCATGACCCAGATCAGACCGAAAATGTATCCAGCCATTTATGTGCCATATGTGATACATGATAGCTTGGGCGATCATGTATCTTTTGATACATGACTGACGAGGCAGATATTTTCACGTAGTAGGTTGGCATTTCATTTTGTGGTAGACTGTTTGCCAACCAAAGCTAAAAATGTTATTTTGTTCTGCTATTCAATCCAGAGAAGAGATTCATACCTTTTCCCAAAGGTATTTGTGCATAAGTGAATCTAATGAACTCGACTGAAATTCGAACGCAATTCTCCGAATTCTCACTCCGAGCCGATATCCATTACACCACAACCCACATCTGGAAATGGAATACTGCTGCTATATATAAACAGGAGCTGCACAGTTTTCACTTGAAAATTCTTGATAGAATCTAAAAACGTCTCTGTGTCTTTATGGGGGATTATTTTCAACCCTACAGAATCCCTTCTTACGGACAAAACGTCATAAGCCTCTCGCTGCCCTATCGCTATTTCCATCTAGGACCTGCCATGCCACGCACATTGTAGTAAACCACCCTGTTATGGGACCTTACCCATAATAACATAATGGACTATTCCATACGTAATAAATACTGCGCCTCAAGAGGAAGCAGAGAGTTCAGTCCGAAGTCGGGCGACCGGCTGACCGGCTGATCGGTTGAACTCTCTGCCTTCGGGCGGGGAGGAACCCGAACGAGGCTACGCCGAAGGGCGGTGACTCTTTCGGGGAGGTAAACCGACACTGAACCCGTTTATACGGGTTGAAAGGGCATATTTTTGGCCGAGCCCACGGGCTCGGAGATCCTACGTTAAACCGCCCTTGTGCCACATGATGCCCTCGTTTGACTAAATACCGTTCCGTCTGAAGTCTAGAGTTCCGTCTGAAGTCTGGAGTGAGGTCCGTCAGGAGTCTGTCAGTCAGTCAGCCGAGTCAGAGGCAGTCCGAAACAGAGTCGCGTTCAGACAATTACTACTAACCTGATTGTTCGTACTAACACTTTCTACTTCTCTGTATATATTCCTGTTTGTAATATATCTGTGTTATTCCATACAGCGTTACAATTTTCGTACGATTCCTTGGAATAACATCCATCGCAGACAATGACCGTAGGACAATTAATCGACACTCGAGACAATAATTTTTGGGTGTGATGAAAATCTGATGCAAGCCAAACAAATTTCATCATAGACCCCGAAAAATAGATTCATATTACTGCACACCACTGCAAATGACCTAGTCTGAGTAAAAAATAGAAATCGATTACACCCTGTCACTCCAGTGGGTCTAAAACTAACCTTATGGTGAAAGAAAGGAAACTAAAGCGGTTGTTCGAATTATTTTGCACAAGGATATATATATATATATATATATATATATGTTATAAATTAATTATTAATTAATTGATATCTTACTGTTCTTTATATATATATATATATATATATATATATATATATATATATATATAAGGATGCGATGAGTAAATTGTCGCCATTTTATATTTTTAATTTCGCGTATGCCTATTGTTTGTTTTCGACTGCACAGTATAGTGGGGGCAGTTGGGCACCGTATGTCAGAAAAAGAGCACAATGACGCAATTCACTCTGCAAAAAATTTGGAAATGGCTTGCTGTATCGTTTGGCATTCGCACCGGAAGCTCCAATACGAACATTTCAGAGTTTTTGGCTATCGATCTGGCGACAATTCAGAAGATTCTAATGGTGATTACGCAGGTGTTTGGGGTGATCACTAGTGATAGCGACGTTATGCCTCCATTCATATTCCCACAGGATATCTGACTCAACTCTGAGGCCTACATGAAGTGCCTTGAGGAGGTAGTACTACCCTGGGTCAAGAAGGTGTTTACTGTAAGAAATATATCAGGTAATAGGAACCTGCACCTTACTACACAAGCGGGAGAACCCAGTCATGGCTGTCAGACACTTTCTATGACCACATAACTCCTTATATCTGGCCACCTAACTTCCCAGACTGCAACCCCCTTGATTATTATGTGTGGTGCGCAGTTGACCGAGAGACAAATAAAACTTCTTGTAACATGAAAGAACTGAAGGCGAGGATTATGGCAGCATTCAAAAAATTAAGGA